CAATGGAAAACACTGCCGCATGCGTCGCCCGAAAGGGCGCACTTGTCATATGCCTACTTCTCAAGCATCCCGCATGGTCACGCAAAGGTTGCGGTTGCAACTGGCGACTCGGGGGAAGGAGCCTGGCCACTCGTCACCACTTCTTGCAAAGACGTGCGCTTGGTACAAGACGCTGGGGGAGTCATCACCTCTTTGTGGTCGTCTTCCCCCAGCAAGCCTCCGACGGCAAACCCTGATCGCCCCAAATGCTTCACGTGCACATTCAAATACCAAATGCCACTCTCTGTGCGTCCATGGACGACTTTCAGCTCGACCGGACCAACAGCAACACACTGCGGAATCGTCGCGGAGCTTTGCCGTCCGCTGTAGTGATACCCTCCGGCTTGCTTAGCCTCTGCCCAAGAGCCTGTAATGTTCAGTTCTTTGAAGTACATATCCGAACAACTTCCACCCGATCGGCGCGCATCGGCCTGCACATGAAGCAATGCGTCATCAGCGCTCACTCCACGAGGGACGTTTATCAGAACATGTTTGCCCGGCTTCATTAAATCGAACCGCTCGCCGTGAACGTTTTGAAGGTGCGGATCGCCGGTGGCAGCCACGCCTCCAGCGGCTCCGCCCGCCATGGGAGCTGCGGGAAGAAACGTTGGACTTGGCGTCGGCCAACCCAGAGGATACGTCGGACTGGGCGTCGGGCTGGGCGTCGGGAAGGGCGTCGGGAAAGACGTCGGGTAGGGGGTCGGAAAAGCCGTGGGGTAGACCGTCGGGAAGCCCGTCGGGTAGGGCGTCGGGAAGGCCGTCGGGTAAGGCGTCGGGAAAGCCGTGGGGTAAGAAGTTGGGAAAGCCGTGGGGTAGGCCGTCGGGTAGGGCGTCGGGAAAACCGTGGGGTAGGGCGTTGGGAAAACCGTGGGGTAGGGCGTTGGGAAAACTGTAGGGTAGGGCGTCGGGTAGGGTGTGGGGTAGGGCGTCGGGTTCGGCGTCGGCTTCGGCGTCGGCTTCGGCGTCGGGTACGGCGTCGGGTATGGCGTCGGCTTCGGCGTCGGGTTGGGCGTCGGGTACGGCGTCGGCTTCGGTGTCGGGTACGGCGTCGGGTTCGGCGTCGGGTTCGGCGTCGGCTTCGGTGTCGGGTACGGCGTCGGGTTCGGCGTCGGGTTCGGCGTCGGCTTCGGCGTCGGGTATGGCGTCGGGTTCGGCGTCGGGTTCGGCGTCGGCTTCGGCGTCGGGTTCGGCGTCGGGTATGGCGTCGGGTTCGGCGTCGGGTTCGGCGTCGGCTTCGGCGTCGGGTTCGGCGTCGGGTACGGCGTCGGGTTTGGCGTCGGAGATGGCGTCGGCTGTGGAGTCTGGAAAAAATAGCGGGCGCGCACGCATACCCGGGTTCCGGCAGGGTAACGGCAACCATGCGTCGCCCACCAATTCGTGCCGATTGGAGCTGGAGCCTCCCATGTCGCCGGGCCGAACCAGATAATGGAGGAACCCGCGCACTCATCCGAATACCACAGCACACTTGTCCAGTAACCTCCCACACCACCATTAAATTCTCGGACAACACAGCCGTAGCCTTCGGCCGCATTATCGTTGGGCTGACGCGCCCACTGCATTCCGATCACCCCCGCGGGTATATTAGCAGCCCCCGGCGCCTGGAACATCGGAGAGTCGTACATCGTGCCATAACAGAATTTTTTGCACACTGCCGACGACCACGCACCTGCCCGCCCAGAAGGGGCGCCACTTTCGACGCGCAGCGTGGTATTTACGGCCTCAACGAGCTCGACCTCAGAAAGCTCTTTGAATGGACCATCGCCATCCTCGATGACCATGCGCATCGCCGCTGGATCCCCTCCGAGCGCCTTCGCGCGCGCGCACGATGAAATAGAGAATGGCCACGCTAGCGCGAAAAAGCCCCATCGGAAGCATACTGTTCGTGAGTGGAGCGAACGGGCTGCTGGAAATGGAGCGAGGCGAGCTCGCTCGAGCGTGTACAGCACGGAAGGGAGAGTCTGCTTGAGCCAAAAGGTTTGAGCCAAAATGGCTACGGAGGGCCCTCTTGGGCGATCTCGAGCGCCTCTTAGGCCGTCTTGGGGCTCTCTTGGGCCGTCTGGGGACTCTCTTGCGCCATCGTGGCGCCCTCTTTGGGTGCCTCTTGGACTGTCTTGAGCTGATGTCTGGGGCCGGGACCTCGTGGGCTGTCTTGGGCCGTCGGAAGCACGGTACAGCGAGAACACGAAATGCCCCCAAAAATCAGAGACTAACCTATTTGTTTCGCCTCCTGAGTGCCTCGTGCGCTCCTGGGCCATCTTGGCACCCTCTTGAACGTCTCTCGGGCCCTCTCGCCACCCCCCTTCCCTCCTTTGACGCGTTCTGGCACCCCCGCCGGGTCCAAAACGGCCGGAAGACAAATCAGTGCACTCCTGGCCCCCCAGGGCCCCTTCCCAATTTAGTTAATGATTTATCTGCGTATAGATGCACTGCTATTCTTTTACTTTTTTACATACACACATATGTGTATATATACACCTAGGAATATACATACATACATACATACATACATACATACATACATACATACATACATACATACATACATACATACAGATATACAAATATACAGATGTATCGATATATGTGTGTATGCATATCGCCCCCCGCCCCAGCACCCCCAAACGACGGAGGACAAAAATACTTTCCCCGGGAAAATCTAACATTCCCCGGGAAAATCGGACATTCCCCGGGACAACCCTTCCCAGGCTTCATTCCCAGGTAGAATATGTGAGAGGCTTCTGAGAGGCTTCTGAGAGACTTCTGAGAGACTTCTGAGAGACTTCTGAGAGACTTCTGAGAGACTTCTGAGAGGCTTCTGAATGGGTTTCTGACAGGTTTCTGAGAGGCTTCTGAATGGGTTTCTGAAATGCTTCTGAGAGGCTTCTGAATGGGTTTATGATGGGTTTCTGAGAGACTTCTGAGAGGCTGCTGAGAGGCTTCTGAATGGGTTGCTGGGAGGTTTCTGAGAGGCTTCTGAATGGGTTTCTGGCAGGCTTCTGAGAGGCTTCTGAATGGGTTTCTGACAGGCTTCTGAATGGGTTTCTGAAAGGCTTATGAGAGGCTTATGAATGGGTTTCTGACAGGCTTCTGAGAGGCTTCTGAATGGGTGTCTGACAGGCTTATGAGAGGCTTATGAATGGGTTTCTGAGAGGCTTCCGAGAGGCTTCTGAATGGGTTTCTGGGAGGCTGCTGAATGGGTTTCTGAAAGGCTTATGAGAGGCTTCTGAATGGGTTTCTGAGAGGCTTCTGAGAGGCTTCTGAATGTCGTTCTGAGAGGCTTCTGAATGGGTTTCTACTGGGCTTCTGAGAGGCTTATGAATGGGTTTCTAATGGGTTTCTGACAAGCTTCTGAATGGGTTTCTAATGGGTTTCTGAAAGGCTTCTGAGAGGTTGTTGAGAGGCTTCTGAATGGGTTTCTGGTAGACTTCTGAAAGACTGAATGGGTTTCTGAGAGACTTCTGAGAGGCTGCTGAGAGGCGTCTGAATGGGTTTCTGGTAGACTTCTGAGAGACTGCTGAAAGGCTTCTGAATGGGTTTATGACAGGCTTCTGAGAGGCTTATGAATGGGTTTCTGACAGGCTTCTGAGAAGCTTCTGGATGGGTTTATGAGAGGCTTCTGAGAGGCTTCTGAATTGGTTTCTGACAAGCTTCTGAGAGGTTTCTGAATGGGTTGCCGAAGGGTTTCTGAGAGGCTTCTGAATGGGTTTCTACTGGGTTTCTGAAAGACTTCTGAGAGGCTGATGAGAGGCTTCTGAATGGGTTTATGAAAGGCTTATGATAGGCTTCTGAATGGGTTTCTGACAAGCTTCTGAGAGGCTTCTGAAGGGGTTTCTGAAAGGCTTCTGAATGGGTGTCTGAAAGGCTTCTGAGATGCTTCTGAGAGGCTTCTGAATGGGTTTCTGCCAAGCTTCTGAAAGGCTTCTGAATGGGTTTCTGACAGGCTTCTGAAAGGCTTCTGAATGGGTTGCTGACAGGCTTCTGAGAGACTTCTGAATGGGTTTCTGAAAGCTTCTGAACGGGTTTCTGAAAGGCTTCTGAGAGGCTTCTGAACGGGTTTCTGAAAGGCTTCTGAGAGGCTTCTGGATGGGTTTCTGAGAGGCTTCTGAATGGGTTTCTACTGGGTTTCTGAAAGGCGTCTGAATGGGTTTCTGAGAGGCTTCTGAGAGACTGCTGAAAGGCTTCTGAATGGGTGTCTGAAAGACTTCTGAGAGACTGCTGTGAGGCTTCTGAATGGGTTTATGGGAGACTTCCGAGAGGCTTCTGGGAAACTTCCGAAAGACTTCTGAGAGGCTTCTGAGAGGCTTCTGAGAGGCTTCTACGAGGCTTCCGAGATGCTTCTGAATGGGTTGCTGGGAGGCTTCCGAGAGGCGTCTGATGGGTTTCTGGGACTACTCCTGCGGCAGCGCTGCGCGCAGAGTTGGCATTATGGCCCGAACGTGCGAGGTGCTAGTTTGCTTGGTAGCCGCCATGGCGTTATTGCACCGCCTCTCCAGCGCTGCCAACTACATCGATGAGTGCGCGGACGATAAATTACCCGTGGCCTGCGTCGGCCGCGGGCTCGGAAACGATCCCCCCATTGTCCGCGTCCGCGGCCAGGACCACCACGGTCGCGAAGACTCCCAGCCGGCCGTTCGGAAATGTTCGCTCGGCCCGTTCAGGCTTGATCGGTCAGCCCTGGTGCTATCGCAGATCAATGGCTCCCAAGGTGAACCAGTGCTGGGAATGCCGGCACAACCCCGCGCATTCTTTCGCGCACGCGGCTTGCGCACACGCGGCCAAGGTTGCGCGGGGGGCCTCGACGCGCCGCCGCCGCATTGGCATGTGCCATCCTGGGCCTAAGGGCGGAGCGCAGTCACTCCTGTGGTCGGTCAGGAGTGCGCGCGCACCGTGCCTGAGCTCTGGATGGCACTGCCCAAACGCTGGGGCCACGCACGTTTGCCTTCGTCGCCGCGCCGTGGCAGGCGGGTGCTGCTCCTGGATCGAGCGGCGACGCGAGTGCGCCGAGTGGCGCGGCTGCGCCCGCGGACGCCGCGCCCGCCGCGCAGCCCCCGATAGTCGGCTGCCACGGTGCGCTCTCGGAAAGGGACCATCGGGAGCAGGTGGCGATCTTCCGCGGCCTCGCCAAGGCCCACCACGGCGCGCACGAAGACCTGGTCACTCCGCCGCGGAAGACCAGGAGGACGGGTCTGGCCTGCGGCGGGCCGCTCTCCCCCGTGGACATCCAGGAGCAGCAGGCGATGATCGCATCCATTGTGGCGCAGGCGCACGGCAAGACCATCGGGGTGGCCGACGATAGCGTCGACTTGGAAGCCGAATTGGAGACGCTCCTCGATGGCGTCGAGGCGGAGCGCGCTGGCGGCGCGAGCGAGCTTCCAGGTGACCTTACGGACTGATCCAGCGGCAGCTGGCCTGGCGAGCGACGCGAGAACGCCCAGGCGAAATGTGCGCAGCGACGCATATTGCTTATGACGGCCAAAGCGAGCTGATGTGAATGCACTCAGGTCTATGCTTGTTCGCTTTCCAGATGTAGATGCCTTCCGCGTTGCGATATGTTGGGCGAGTGCCATAGAAATGCCCATGCGAAATGTGCGCGGACACGCATATTGATTACGGCGGTTGTGAACTGTGCGAAACAGCACCATCTTCAGTTGATCCTGTTACTCATCATTCCTCCTCTCGCCGTGCTTCCCCATCTTGCAGATGCCCCTTTTCTTGGACCCCTTTGTCAACAACCCCCCACCCCACCCCCCCACCCCACCCCACCACCACCACCACCACCACCCCACCCCCCCACACCCCACACACCCCGCTGCATTGCAATTGCATTGAATTGCAATCCCATTGCAGCGCATTGCATCGCATTGCGATCGCAGCGCATTGCATTACACTGCATTTCGATCGCATTGCGTTGCATTGCACTGCAATCGCATTGCGTCGCATTGATTTGGAGAAAGAGGGATGGGTTGAAGAATTATTGCTGCATTCTGATTGTAATCATACTGTGATCATGGCGGGTTCGGTAGGAGGAGGAGGAGGAGAAGGAGGAGGAAGAGGAGCAGGAGGAAGAGGCGGAGGAGCAGCAGGAGGGTGAGGACGAGGAGGACGAGGATGAGGAGGGCGAAGAAGAGGATGAGGATGAGGAGGATGAGGGGGATGAGGATGAGGAGGAAGAAGAAGAGGATGAGGATGATGAGGACGAGGGGGATGAGGGCGAGGAGGATGAGGATGAGGAAGGGGAGCAACAACAGCAACAGCATCAGCATGGCAACGAAACCGTGCTATTCACAGGTTTTTTGTTTTTTTTGTCAGGGAGGCAACCAAACACTGTTATGCACATGTGTCTCCCCATATCCGAAGATGGGGTTCTTGATATTACTTGGACGCCTCCTACTCCTTCTCCTTCCTCCTCCTCTTTTCTCCTCCCCTCCTGTCGGACATAATCAGACTTGCTCATACACAGACTTACTCATACTCAGACTTACTCATACTCAGACCTACTCATACTCAGACTTACTCACACTCAGACATACTCATATACAGACTTACTCATACACAGACTTGCTCATACACAGTATTAGTCATACCCAGACGTACACATACACAGACTTACTCATACACAGACTTACTCATACTCAGCACCCCTAAGGGGAGCCGCCAGGGGTGGTTGCACGGGCTCGTTCGCGGCCATTTTGTGGGGATGTCTCAGGCGGTTTGCCTGTTTCTGTGCCCAACATCCTTCGCTTTCGGAGCAGATTTGGAGGATGTCTCGAGCGAGGCGCTCATTTCAGCACCCCTAAGGGGAGCCGCCAGGGGTGGTTGCACGGGCTCGTTCGCGGCCATTGTGTGGGGATGTCGCAGGCGGTGTGCCTGTTTCTGTGCTCAACATCCTTCGCTTTCGGAACAGATTTGGAGGAAGTCTCGAGCGAGGCGCTCATTTCAGCACCCCTAATGGGGAGCCGTCAGGGGTGGGTGCACGGGCTCGTTCGCGGCCATTGTGTGGAGATGTCTCAGGCGGTTTGCCTGTTTCTGTGCCCAACATCCTTCGCTTTCGGAGCAGATGTGGAGGAAGTCCCGAGCGAGGCCCAAATTTCAGCACCACTAAGGGGAGCCGCCAGGGGTGGTTGCACGGGCTCGTTCGCGGCCATTTTGTGGGGATGTCTCAGGCGGTTTGCCTGTTTCTGTACCCAACATCCTTCGCTTTCGGAGCAGATTTGGAGGATGTCTCGAGCGAGGCGCTCATTTCAGCACCCCTAAGGGGAGCCGCCAGGGGTGGTTGCACGGGCTCGTTCGCGGCCATTGTGTGGGGATGTCTCAGGCGGCGTGCCTGTTTCTGTGCCCAACATCCTTCGCTTTCGGAGCAGATTTGGAGGATGTCTCGAGCGAGGCGCTCATTTTCACCCCCCAGGTGGGCCAGATTTCGAGGATGTCTCGATCGGTTTGCTAGTTTTGGTGGCCAGGCTCGTGGGCGCAGATTCTTCTCAGGATGCCACAGGAGGCTCCAACAGGCTCCAGGAGGCTCCAGGAGACCACATGAGGTCCCAGGAGGCATCAGGAGGCCACAGAAAGACTCAAGAGGCCACAGGATGTCCCAAGAGGCTCCAGGAGGCCCCAGGAAGCTCCAGAAGGCCTCAGGAAACCACAGGAGACCCCAGGAAACAACAGGAAGCGCCAGGAGGCTTCGGAAGGCAACAGGAAGCCCCGAGAGGCCCCAGGAGCAGGAGGCCTCAGAAGGCAACAGGAGTGGCTCCAATCCCATGTGTTTTACGTATGTTCCTATCGATTGGGCCTCACCTGGAGCACGATTATTTGATGTTCTACGTATGTTTCTATAGATGGTCCTTCTCCTGTGTACACAATCCTAAATGTTTTACTCATGTTCCTATGGATCGGGCCTCTCCTGGGGCACGAGTCCTTGGTGTGTTACGCGTGTTCCTATAGATTGCCCTTCTCATGTGGCTCTAATCCGTAATGTTTTATGCACGTCTGTTGCTATAGATTGCGCCTCCCCTGGGGCACGAAACCGCCCTAGGAGGCCCCAGGAGGTCCCAAGAGGCCCCTGGAGACCCCAGGAAGCCCCAGTAGGTTTCAGGAGGCCCCAGGAGGCCCCAGGCTCATGCACAGAGACGCGCTCGTACTATTGAGGCTCATTCACACTCCAATTCATTCGCAGTTAGATTGATGTCCAGACCGTCACAACTGAAGCCCGTTAATAATATTCGAAAGCTCTTGCGCCTAGACATTCACGGCGGACAGGTCCATGCGAGTAGATGCACATATGGGGAGCTCCACGCAGTGAATAATTTCCCAACCATCCTGTGGTGTTGGGTCCTCGTTTTGGAGAAACGGTCCCCGCGTTCCTCCTCCTTCTCCTCATCATCCTCCTCCTCCTCGCCCCCCTCCCTCCTGCGTTCGCATGCCTCCCCACCACCCATTTCGGCGCACCCCTCACGCGCTTCGTGGCCCCATAGGGAGCTCCACCGAAGGCCCCAGTGGCTGCGTTCGCACGCCTCCCCACCACCCATTTCGGCGCACCCCTCACACGTTTCGTGGCTCCATAGGGAGCTCCACCGAAGGCCCCAGCGGCTGCGTTCGCATGCCTCCCCACCACCCATTTCGGCACACCCCTCACACGTTTCGTGGCCCCATAGGGAGCTCCACCGAAGACCCCAGCGGCTGCGTTCGCATGCCTCCCCACCACCCATTTCGGCACACCCCTCACACGCTTCGTGGCCCCACAGGGAGCTCCACCGAAGGCCCCAGTGGCTGCGTTCACATGCGCCCACCGCACCCACTTCGGCACACCCCTCACACGTTTCGTGGCTCCATAGGGAGCCTCACCCAAGGCCCCCGTGGCTGCGTTCGCATGCGCCCACCGCACCCAGTTCGGCACACCCCTCACACGCTTCGTGGCCCCATAGGGAGCTCCACCGACAAAGAAAAAAGAAAGAGAGAAAAAAAATAGAAAAAAAAAAAGAAATCGACAAAATGAGAAACAGGAAGAATGCCCCCAGTGGCTGCGTTCGCATGCCTCCCCACCACCTCTTCCATTTCGGCACACACCTCACACGCTTCGTGGCCACATAGGGAGCTCCACCGAGGGCCCCCGTGGCTGCGTTCGCATGCCTCCCCACCACAACATTTCGGCACCCCCCTCACACGTTTCGTGGCTCCATAGGGAGCTCCACCGAAGGCCCCAGTGCCCGCGGCCGCATGCGTCCCCCACACCCATTTCGGCACACCCCTCACACGTTTCGTGGCTCCATAGGGAGCTCCACCGAAGGCCCCAGTGCCCGCGCCCGCATGCGTCACCCACACCCCTTTCGGCACACCCCTCACACGTTTCGTGGCACCATAGGGAGCTCCACGGGGAAAAAGGCCCCAGCGGCTGCGTCCGCATGCGTCCCGCACACCCATTTCGGCACACCCCTCACACGCTTCGTGGCCCCATAGGGAGCTCCACCGAAGGCCCCATGGCTGCCGTCCGCGTGCGTCCCGCGCACCCATTTCGGGACACCCCTCACACGTTTCGCGGCCCCACAGGGAGCTCCACCGAAGGCCCCAGTGCTGCCGTCCGCATGCGTCCCCCACACCCATTTCGGCACACCCCTCACACGTTTCGTGGCCCCATAGGGAGCTCCACAGAAGGCCCCAGTGGCTGCGTTCGCATGCCTCCCCACCACACATTTCGGCACACCCCTCACACGTTTCGTGGCCCCATAGGGAGCTCCACCGAAGGCCCCAGTGGCAGGGTTCGCATGCCTCCCCACCACCTATTTCGGCACACCCCTCGCACGCTTCGTGGCCCCATAGGGAGCTCCACCGAAGGCCCCAGTGGCTGCGTTCGCATGCCTCCCCACCACCCATTTCGGCACACCCCTCACACGTTTCGTGGCCCCATAGGGAGCTCCACCGAAGGCCCCAGTGGCAGGGTCAGCATGCCTCCCCACCACTCATTTCGGCACACCCTTCACACGTCTCGTGGCCCGATAGGGAGCTCCACCGAAGGCCCCAGTGGCGCGGTGCCTATGAGAAGAGGGGCCTAGTTTGCGTGCCCCCTCCTTCGTCTCATATCCGTGCGGTACTCGCAGCTGCATATGGTTGGGTCCTTCGCCAGGCTAATTGGTTTTTGGGTTTTCAGAAATCTACAAGCATGGCCAGGGGGTGTTGTGGAACGCCAGAAATCAAATTATCCTGGCGAAGGACCCAACCAAATGCAATTGTGAATACTGCAATTGTGAATATCTTCTCGGTGGAGCCCCCTACGGGGCCACGAAACGTACGAGGGGTGTGCCGAAATGAGTGTGCGGGACGCATGCGGGCACACCCACTGGGGCCTTCGGTGGAGCTCTCTATGGGGCCAAGAAACGTGTGAGGGGTGTGCCGAAATTCGTGT